GGTTTTCAATGCGAAAACAAATAAGCACACTGAAGGGAATAAGTTGTATGTGCTCCAATTACGAAACGTTACGTGTATAATTGAGTCGATGAAATGATTCATATGAGTCTGATGAAATAAATATACTGAAGGACAGACAGACAGGAATGAAAAAGATTAACTGGTAGCAGAGATATGATCATAAATAGTGTGAAATATCGACGGATCAACTGTTAGATATAGAGATTAATGGAGGCATGTATTGACCGCGAGGCAAATTGACGGATCTACGCGAATATATACATAGACAGGTTGACAGATGCAAAGACCTACAGGTATATACTAAGACAGATATATAGAAAGATGGATGGCCTGATAGACCGAGCTAAATTGATAAATAACACACAGGGAGAAGGGTAAATAAATAAATGCATGGATGAATAAATAGATAGGAAAATAGATATACCGATAAACTGACTGACTGACAGACGAAAAATCTACGGATAGAGACAAAAAGATCTAAACACAGAGATGTACATATTTTTTGAAGAGCTTTACGATTTTTAGCTTATGATGTATCAAGTGAACATTTTTTGGTATCATCATTATTTTTTTGATCCATCGTAGGAAAAAGGCTTTTCAAAGATTTGCCATGAGGTTTTATTTTCTGCCATTTTTAAACCAATTCGCGGCAACAAATTTCTTGAGTTCCTTTTGTTTCCGGTCCCACAGGCCGTTTACTGTCTCCTTGAATACTGCACTACATGTGGTTTCATTTCTCTACCTCCATTCATTGCCACTGCGACCTGTGAACGCATGTACTGACACAGCAAAATTCAGTCCAGGTGTTCTGACGCATTCGTTCGTTATTCGCTTTCTCCTCGTTATTCCTAACATATCCTTTCCACGCTGTGTGAGCAGTTTTTATGCATAGAATCCGGACGTTAGCATTTGAAGCGCTCACTGGTTGAAGACCTCGTGTTTCAAGCATAAGGCAGTTTTTCACTGGGGATATTGTAGTTGCATACTAGGGCTTAAAAATGCAAAACAACGTTGGTAAAGGTGTTACTTAATGATTGAAGCGTTTTATTAACAATAAAAGTAATATTACTAAATGAAAACTTATTTTTAACTTATGCCTGAAAGACACTTGCGCGGAACTCAGATCCCAAATATTACGTAACAGACCCTCAACCACATCTCAGCGTTGATTTGATGTCATTTGCATTCGATCTTGATTACGTAACCGCTGGGGGTAATGAAGCGCATTATCCGTTAAATAAAATATGTGCCTTTTTTAAAGCAGCTAGCATTGCTGCGTAAGAATGAAATGTGCAGTAGATGGGTGAATGGAATGAAAAACAAACTGAAATGTGACCAGATGGGCAGTCCAACATGCGCAAGCATAAAAATATAGGTGTACTCGCTTGAAGACATGCTGTACTGCAGCAGTGTTCACTATTAGGGGATGAAATATCCAGTCAATAAGATCCAGGTAATTTCTTTCTAAAAATGTTCTTGATTCTCACGTTCAATCATATCCAGATTTTTTGATTATTGAAATATTTATGTTTGGCATGACTGCTGTTACACGCTGAGCTCTGTCTTCCGTCAGCAATACTGAAACAGTCGTTTAGAATGGGTTCCCCGTCATTACGTGTAGAAGATTTCTCTGAGCATTGGTGCTGTGCGTTTTGTACGTTTACCCTCTTAAATTATGGAAACCTCTCAAGCACCTTCGACCATGAATCAGCAAACAGTGTGGAATTTCAGCAACAGGCCTAGAGTAGAAAATGCTCTGCCACGTTTCATCAGATTTTACTCAGTTGCTTCGTTTTCGTCCTCTAAGGCAACTCGGTACTAAATTAGAAAGGTTTACTTAGCATCCTGCTATCTGATTCTCCAGCCTTAAGCATCAAGTGTTTTGACGTACGGGTTTTGTGAATTGTTTCGGAGTATGTGATTCTTACAAGAATTGAAACTCCGATAAGAAAAATGTTTTGCAGTGAGTCACACTTTGGTTTTATGAGCAATCCAGCCTCTGAAAGCTTAATCCTTGACTCCCATGTTATTTCACATCCGTGTCGGACTCAGCGAAGTTAGTCAGCGATTCTACATAATGGTATCGATGTTATTTCTGTGCGTGTCCATCTGCCTTTCTGCCTTGAATTTCGTTTTACAGCCTAAACGAATAAAGTGATCCAATATGACAAAGGATTTGTAGAGAGATGAATTTACTAACGATATCCATGGTTTGTCCGGCGTTATCCCGATCCTCAGAGCGTTTGGCATGATCTGCAAACTTGTGACCCCATGTAAAGTGAGATCTGTTGAGTCATGCTTGAATAAGCGTTAAACTACGTCTGTGTAAAGCAGGCAACCTCTGCAACCAAACGCTATGAAATCAACCGAAAGGTAAAAATGACACCGAGAACCTTCGGAAAATTGAAGCAGTTTTTTTTGCGCTACTGCCCTTGTGCCTCAGACTAAAAGTGTCTTCGTTTTGTGCGGCTTCGGGTGATGAGGTTTGGATATTAAACATGGATCACAATCGTTAAGTCTGTTCAGTTCTAGGCAGCGCAACATTGAAACAGAAGAATAAGTCGAAAACGTAACGTACCTAACAAATAAATGGGGGGGACAGCAGGGGCCAGTCATGCCACTTGAAGAGCAAAGAAGTTGAAACGGCATCGGACTGGAC